CTATCTAGGGGTCCCTCCTGCCTGCCTGGCCGGCTGACTGCTGCTTGCTGCTGTGTTGGAGCTGCTACCACCGTCGAGGAGTGAGGAGAGACCGGGTTCCTGTTGAGGGATATTGTGGAGGGGGTTTGTTTAAGAACTGAGTATTGAGTGACTTTGACCATCTCTGCTCCTGGGGTGGTGGTGACTCCAGTTGCTGTTGAAGGGAGCGAGGGGGTGGGGCGCGGAGCCCTCCCCCTCGTCCATCTGCTCCCCCTCTGCCACCGCCCCCACCACCGCCCCACGTACCACCTGGACCTGCTCTTCGCCCCTCGACGGGGCTGTTTGCTCCCCCCGCTCCGTTTACCATCCGGGACTGCTTGTCTGCAGCAGTGAGCGGCAAGGACTGAGTTACACAAGCGCCTGTGGACACACCTACCTTCCCACCTTGGACTTATCCTGCCCTCCAGATGCGTTTGGCTGGTGGGGCCCCCTCCCTGTGGTCCCACTGTATTAGTTGGCCCTCCCCTGTCCCGCCCGTTACCTGCTTTAAGCCTCTCTGTTAGTTTGCCTGCCCCGCCCTAGCCTTCAGCATTTACTTGCCCCGCCCCAAACTTTAGCTTTGGTTAGGTTGTCTGCCCCGCCCTTGCCCTTGTAGTTTCCCTCCCTGGACTTTGCCTGCCCCCTTGGTTTTTCCTTTTGCTTCCCCTTGCCCCACCCCACCCCAGTTTGGTGTGTCTTGCCTGTGCGCCCATGCTCCCACCGCAGGAGCTTGTGCCCCTTTTCAGTTGCCCCCCCACACTGTTCACAGCCTTTCCACTGATATTGTAGTCCTCCCCCCTCCCCCCCCCCGGTGCAGCCGGAGGAGCCGGCATACCTCTCTAGCACCTGTGCCCCCCCCCCCTTTTCGCCCCTGTGTGCCCCACCGTTGGCACCCTCCTCCCCAGCCTGCAGCCTAGCGGGGAGGAGCGGTTGCTTTTTCCTGGTTCTCCTGCCACCCGCCCCAGGGGCGCCCTCCTTCCCTTAACGCAGCCTAACAGGGAGGAGTCGTTAGCCCCTTCCCCATATTCCCCGTCTCCCCCCGCCCCTCCTGCTGGACCCTCCTCCCCTGCATCTTGCCTGGCGGGGAGGAGTAGTTGCCTGTCACCCCCCCCCCGTATTAGAGCCTCTCTGAGCCATCATGGCAAAGGACCCCGCTCCTGCCCCTGCCCCTGCTTTGACCCCTGCCCCTGCCTCTGCTGACCCCGTGGTTTCCCCGTTACCCCCGCCCGCCCCAGTGGCTGGCCCCTCGGCTACCCCTGGCCTAGATGCCACGGCTGCCCCCTCCACCGGCAGGAAGGGCCAAGGCAAGAAGAAGGGCAAGGGCCCCGCCCGTAAGGCCACACCTCCTGCGGGCGGGGCTGCCCTCCCCGCCGCGGCCCCCACACCGGCCGCGGCCCCTCCCTCTCCTGCCGTCCCTTCCACCAGCTCTGGGGGCGCTCTATCTCGGGCCCCCAGAGTGTACGCCCAGGTGGCCGCCGCCCCTCCACGTGCCGCCGCACCGTCCGCCCCGACCGCCGCCTCCGGACCCATCCCTGATGGCCGAGGCCCCTTCCCCTCGCTGACCAGGAGGCACGGCGTCCGCTGCCACCTGGTGCCTGCCTCGCCCCACATCGAGACCTATGTGCGGGCGTTGGCGAGGGTGGTGGGGCCCATGGCCATCGTGGCGGCCTCCAAAATGTACGGGAAGGCTGTGTTCTTCCTGGCGTCGGAGGACGCCACGCAGGAGGTGGTGGAAAGGGGCCTGGCGGTGGGGGGGGGGGGTGTTTGTCCCCTTAGAACCTCTGGAGGACCTGGGCGTCGGGGTGGTCTTAACGTCCATCCCGCCCTTCCTCCCCAACGCTACCCTGTTGCCTGCCCTCTCCACCCTGGGGAAGCCCATCTCCGTTCTCAGCCCTCTCTCGCTGGGCTGTAACGACCCCGCCCTCCGTCACATCCTGTCCTTCCGCCGGCAGGTCCAGTTCCAGCTACCGCCGGCGGCGCGTGATGGAGTGGCGCTCGAGGGGTCCTTCCTGGTGTCCTACCAGGGGGCCCACCACCGAGTCCATTATTCGACGGGGGAGGCCCGGTGCTTCCTCTGCCGGGCGACGGGGCATGTCTGGAGGGACTGTCCCTTGGCCCAGCACGGAGGGGCATCCGGGACCCCCGGGACCCGGGAGGGCGCCGGCCCTGTCACCGCCGGCGACCCTGGTGGCCCGGTTGCCACTGTTGCCGCCGCCCCTCCTCCCTCTACCGTAGTCCCCGCTCGGGCCGCGGGGACGGCCGAGCGGGCGGGCCTCGCCCCCATCGAGTCTAGTTCGGCGGGGCCCGTGGAGGAAAGGGCGGGGAGGCCTCTGCCAGCTGCGGGAGAGGGCCCGCTCCAGGGGGCGGTTTCCCTTCCCCCCGCTGTCCCGCCCTTGCTGCCCCGAGCCCCGAAACCATCGTCCTTGCCCTCTGGCCCTGCCCCTGCTGACCGGCCCTCCACCTCCACTTCCACCTCGGAGGGCTGGGTGACTGTCCGGGGGATGCGCGGCGCCCGCAGATCGCGGGCTCGATCCCTCCCCTCCGATGAGGAGGGAGAGCAGGCCCCCCGAAAGATGCTGCGGGGGGCTGAGGTTGTTAGCTCTTCTACCGCGCCCCCGGACGGTGCCCAGCAGGAGGTGCCGGCCATGGACACCGTGGCAGCGGACGGAGAAACTCCTGCCCCCCTTGTCGAGCCCCCCCACGAGGAGGCTCTGGTGGCGATTCCCTCGGCCCTTGTTCCGCCTGTGCCCCCCGCCGCCGCCGGTACCAGGGTGGTTGTTGTCGTCTCTGTGACTGGCGGGGAGGTTGCCGGGACCGAGTTCATCTCCATCTTTGATGAGATCGAGGCCCTGGGTCTGACCCCGGTCACCCAGGGGGAGGACGACCCTCCACCAGCGGGCCTCGATCTGGGCGGCGGCTTAGTTCCGCCGCCCCCTCCTGCTCCCTGTCCCTCGCCCCACTCTGCCGCCCCTGACCTTGTCCTTGGGGAACCCTTGGCCCTACCCGTCAGCCCGGCCGCAAATACCACCTTATGCGAGGCCGCCGAGCCCCTCGGGGCGACGGCCGACGTTGAGCAGCTGGTTCCTGACCCTGATCCCGCCCTTTCTCCCGTTCCTATCCCTGAGGCTTCCTCTCTCCCTGCTGCCTCCGTCCCCTCGACCAAAGACCCTGGTCGAGAGGAGCCGCACCCTAGCGGCTCGGTTGGCGGAGATCCAGAGCCCGTTCCCGTCCCTGCCCCTGTCCCTGATCCTGTCCCTTCTTCTGCCCCAGTCCCAGTTCCTGCTTCAAGCCCTGTCCCTGATCCTGTCCTTGCCCCCGATCCTGCCCCTGAGGTGTCACCTGTCTCTCTCCCTTCCACCTCCAGTTCCACTGCCGCCCCCAGGGTTGTCGCGTTCCCGTTACCTGCAGACAACCCTCAGGGGGCGGTTTTCGTGTCTCCCCTTCCCGTCACTGTAGGGGCTGCATTGTTCCCTCCGCCGCCCTCTCCTTTGCCGGGGATGGGGATGGGCTGCCCGGCGCAGCAGTGCCGGAGCTCGGCCCCTTGTTTGCCCGTCTCTGTGGGCCGCGAGGACCTTTCAGGGGCCCCACCGGAGGATGGCGGCGACTTGGCGGCTGCCTCCCCCCTGCGCTGAAGGATGAGCTGCGCCTCTTTCTCTCGGACACCCGCGGCTCAAAGGGCAAGGTGCAGCTCGCCCTTCAGTGCTGGGGGGATTTCCATCGTGTCCTCCGGGCCGTGAAGGCGCTTTTGGGGGAGGGGAGAGGGACCGGGCGGCAGGACATCGCAGCCTATCGGAGGGCCCGCAAGTTCTGCGACTCCCTCTTGACCTTTGGGGTCGAGACCGGGTTCTTGCGGGGCTCGCTGGAGGCCGTCGATTCCCCTGCCCATGAGGATCCGCTCCAGCCCTCACTATGACTGTGACCATATCTGCATCATTAAACACCCGGGGCTGTAGGGTGGGTCTCCGCAGGAGCCAGGTGCTCTCCTTCCTTCGGGAGGGGGGGTACTCTGTGATCTTCCTGCAGGAGACCCACACGGCTCCAGCCGTCGAGGCTAGCCGGCGGCTGGAGTGGGGGGACGGGGTTTATTTTAGCCACCTCAGCGCCCATTCGCCTGGGGTGGCCACCCTGTTCTACCCCGAGCTACGGCCCGAGGTGCTGGGGGTCGCCGAGGTTGGGCCGGGCCGCCTGCTGCATGTCCGGGCCCGTGTGGAGGGGCTGCTTCTGAACTTAGTCAACGTCTATGCCCCGAACACGGGCCCGGAACGAGTGCCTTTTTACCGGCAGGCGGCGGCCTTCCTCGGCACCCTGGATCCTCACGAGTGCCTTGTCCTGGGCGGGGACTTCAACACCACCCTCAAGGACCGGGACCACTCAGGGCTTGAGACTTCCCAGGCAGCCGCAGGCGTCCTCAGGGAGATCGTGGACCATCACTCCCTGGTGGACGTCTGGCGCGACCACCACCCGGACGACGACACCACCTTCACCTATGTCTGGGTGGAGGAAGACTGGTCGCGCCACTCCCGGTTGGACCGGATCTATTTGTCACGCTTTCAGCTGGCCCGGGCCCACGCCTCTGGCATCCGGCCGGCCCCGTTCACGGATCACCATCTGGTGACCGTGACGGCCTCTCTCAGTTCTGAAAGGCCGGGGCCGGCCTATTGGCATTTTAATAATAGTTTGCTGGAGGACGTGGGCTTCGTGGCGGCCTTCCGGGAGTTCTGGCTGGCCTGGCGGGGGCAGCGGCGCGCCTTTCCCTCGGCACGGCGGTGGTGGGACGTGGGGAAAGTCCGCGCGTGGCTCTTCTGCTGAGACTACACCCGGGGCGCCAGCCGGCAGAGGGACGCGTTGATAGGGCAGTTGGAGCGGGAGGTCTTAGAGCTAGAGAGGCGTCTGGCCTCCGGCCCCAAGGGTCCACCCCTCTGCGCAGCGTACCGGGAGAAGCGGGAGGAGCTCCGGGCCCTGGAAGACCACCGGGCCCGGGGCGCATTCGTTCGATCCTGCATCCGTCTCCTTCAGGAGATGGATCGCTGCTCCCGCTTCTTCTACGCCCTGGAGAAAAAGAGGGGGGCCAAAAAGCATGTCACCTGCCTCCTGGCGGAGGACGGCGCCCCCCTCACGGATCCGGAGGAGATGCGTAGAAGGGCCAGGGCCTTCTACGCCGCTCTTTTCTCCCCGGATCCGACCGAAGCCGAGGCCCGCAGGGTGCTCTGGACCGAGCTCCCGACGGTCAGCGCGGGCGACCGAGACCGGCTGGAGCTGCCTCTCTCTCTGGCCGAGTTCTCGGAAGCCCTCCATCTCATGCCCACCAACAAATCTCCGGGCATGGACGGGCTGACCGTGGAGTTCTACCGCGTGTTCTGGGACATCCTCGGCCCGGACCTCGTCACCGTCTGGGCTGAGTCCTTGCAAAGCGGGGTCCTCCCTCTCTCGTGCAGGCGAGCCGTGCTCGCCCTGTTGCCCAAGAAGGGGGACCTCCGCGATTTACGGAATTGGTGTCCCGTCTCGCTCCTCAGCACGGACTATAAGGTCGTAGCGAAAGCCATCTCGCTGCGGCTGGGGTCCGTGCTGGCGGACGTGGTCCATCCAGACCAGACCTACACCGTCCCGGGCCGGAGCATCTTTAATAACCTGTACTTGGTCCGGGACCTATTAGAGCTGGGGCGTAGGGATGGTCTGTCGTTCGCCCTCCTGTCCCTGGACCAGGAGAAGGCGTTCGATAGGATGGACCACAAGTATCTCCTGGGCACTCTGTGTTCGGCTTCGGGCCCCAGTTTGTGGGTTTTCTCCAGGTGCTGTACGCTGAGGCGGAGTGTCTGGTCAGGCTCAACTGGACCCTGACCGAGCCAGTCAGCTTCGGGCGGGGAGTACAGCAGGGGTGCCCCCTCTCTGGCCAGCTGTATGCTCTGGCGATCGAGCCCTTCCTCTGCCTCCTCCGTCAGAGGTTGGCGGGGTTGGCGCTTCGGGAGCCGGAGCTGCGGCTGGTCCTGTCGGCGTACGCCGACGACGTGCTCTTCGTGGTCCAGGACCCGGGCGACCTGGTGCGGGTGGAAGCCTGCCAGGCCGTTTACTCGGCGGCCTCCTCCGCCCGGGTCAACTGGGTCAAGAGCTCTGGCCTGGTGGTTGGGGACAGGTGGCAGGCGAGCTCCCTCCCACCCGCGCTTCAAGCCATTAGGTGGAGCGCGGGTCCGCTGCTCTATCTCAGTGTTTACCTTTCCGCCACGCATCCTTCTCCGCCGGAGAACTGGCAGGATTTAGAGGTCAGGGTGGGTGAGCGGCTGCAGAGATGGACAGGACTGCTCTGGTGTCTCTCCCTGCGAGGGAGGGCTCTGGTGCTGAACCAGCTCGTCCTGTCCATGCTCTGGCACCGGCTCAACACCCTGAGCCCGGCCCCAGGGTTCCTGGCCAGGCTCCAGAGGACAGCCCTGGAGTTTTTCTGACCGGGACTGCACTGAGTCTCTGCAGGGGTTCTGAGTCTTCCCCTGGAGGGGGGCTACAAAGGCAGACCAGGTCCATGTCTTCCACCTCCAGGCCCTGCAGAGGCTCCTTTATGGTGCAGGTAGTCCGGCCTGGAGCACGTTAGCGAACGCCTTCCTCCACCGCCTCCGAGGGCTCAGATACGACCGGCAGCTCCTTTTCCTTCACCCGAGAGGTCTTCCGCAAGACCTCTCGGAGCTGCCGGTCTTCTACCAGGACCTCCTCCGGACCTGGAAGCTTTTTTCGGCAACCAGGTCCATTGTGGCCACCGAGGGCGTGGACCTCCTCGCGGAGCCCCTGCTGCACAACCCCAATCTTCGTGTGCAGGTGGCAGAGTCGCCCTCGGTGAGCCGGAGGTTGGTCCTGGCAGAAACCACCAGGGTCGGAGACCTCCTGGACTACGCCGGGGGGACTGGGTGGATCCCCGCGCGCTTGGCCGGCGCATGGGGCTCTCCACCCTTACGACCCCTCTGCGTGTACTCCAGGAGGTGGGCGCCGCCTTGTCGCCCCCTTCTCTCAGCTTCCTGTGGCAGGCCCTGCGAGAGGGCGTTCCCCGCCCACCCCTCACCCTGGGCCCTCCGGACCTTTTTATCGGGCCCCTGTTCTGCAAGCCCCCCCGGCTCCCCCGCTCCCATAATCCGAGCCGGCTGCACGCTCTGCAGCCGGTCCGGTTTCAAACCACGTCCAGAGACCATCTGTACACGCTCGTGCTCCACACATTGAATCTCCTCACCCTCGCGTCCCGCCCCGACACCAAATGGCGGGACTACCTAATGCCTGTGGAGGGTGAGGAGCCCCGGTGGGCCAGCCTTTATTCTACCTTAGTCCGAAGGCCCGCCGGGGACATTGGTTGGCGGCTCCTTCACGGAGCCATGAGCACGGGCGTGTACCTGGCGCGGTTCACCCCTATTCCCAAGGCCTGTCCATTCTGCGGCGTGAGGGAGACCCTGGCGCACGCCTATCTCGAGTGCGCCAGGTTGCAGCCCCTGTTCCGGCTCCTCCGGAACCTCTTGTTGAGGTTCTGGCTGCACTTTTCCCCACACCTGTTCATTTATGCACACCCTATCCGTGGCCCCACTAAGTCACGAGATCTCCTTGTCAACCTCTTCCTGGCTTTAGCCAAACTCACCCTCTATAATACCAGGGAGAGGATGTTGGACGAGGGGGTGCTCTGCGACTGTGGGGCCTATTTCCGTACCTCCCTGGTCTCACGTCTCCGAGCAGAGTTCCAATGGGCAGCATCCGCTGGCTCCTTTGCCACCTTTGAGAGGCAGTGGGCGCTGTCCAGGGTTCTCTGCTCGGTGTCCCCATCCGGTACCCTTATTTTGAACCTTTGACTGTCACTTCACTCCCTGTTTTTTCATTAGTTGTCCCAAGGATTTAGTTGGTTCCTGGGTCCAGTGGTCCCTCCCGCTAGGCTGGGGGAGGGGCCTTTAGAAGTGGGCGAGTAAGCCCGCCCACCTCCCAGTTGATACCAATAAGGCCTCACTACAGTGAGGTATTCCTGTCATGAGTCCGTTGTGGTCAAAACACTGAGACAGTGCAGTGAGTTGTTTGCTTTATTGATCTACAAATATCTTTAGACATTTTGTTCATGTTTAGAGATATGGGTGTTTTTAGTTACAACCAAAGCAGTGTTCAGCTTCTTGTAAAACAGCCCAGTAGCTACTATTAGATCAAGTTACCAAAATATTGTATGAAAAATAGTGCAATGGCATTAGATTGTGAGATCCCTAAGTATGAAGAAAAACTATTAAATCCTGGAGTATGTTTCCTTTTTAGTTTTCTGTACAGCATAGAGAGGAACTTGAAAGTGAAGAGGGGAAAGAGAACATATGTTTACTTTTATTTGCAATGTAAATATTAAACTTATTTTATAAAGAGTAACACTTACTGATTTGATTCCCACGTGTGTGAGTGTCAGATATATCAGTAGCAGAAGAGAAAATTAAGTAATATAAGAAAGGAAGAAAAGTTCAGCTAAGATTGTAAATGTAATGGAGAGTCCACTTGTCAGATGTGCAGAAAGGCTGGCTGTTCCAAATGATGGGAGTTGTGGTGGAGAAGGTTCTTGCATTAATGCTGGCAAGATGGTATTAAAGGATGAGAGGAGGCCAGTGCAAGACTAGCAGAGAGGGGGAGTGAAAGGAGGAATATAGAGACACAAGGAGTGAAATCCTGGCTCCATTGAAGTCAGTTGGAGTTTTGCTATTGACTTCTGTGCGGTCAGCATTTCATCCCAGGTCTATGAGGTAAGGCTATGGAACATTTAAAAAAAGAGAGACCATGGAAAATTTTAAAAAAGGTTGATTTTGAACTAGATTGTCAAATGAAGACCCAGTGGAATGGCTAAAAAATGTGGATGATGCAGTCATCCTTCTTCGGGTATATGTGAAGATACTATTTATCTTCAGATGCTGGAGTCTGGAGAGCTAGGTC